AGGAGGGGAAGTGATTTCGGCCTTGGACCATGTTTTCCCTTGGGAATTTGACACGGGAAGGCGAGCCCTCATTCTCAAGCCTAGGCAGTTCTAGATGGCACACTGCTCTCAGCCGCTCTCATGCCGAGCTGCTGGGGGTCCTGGCTGGATGACAGGCCCCAGCATCACGTGAGAAGGAGGCAGTGGAGCTGCAGCCTGGTCCCTAATGACTGCACGGTTCCCACCTGCTCAAAACCTTCTTGGGACAGAAGCAACCCACCATCCGTGCAGCCAGGAGAACACAGAGCAGTGGTGGTGGGCATTGGGGGAGTGGCCTTAGGGCTGAGGGAGGACGGCCTGGGCAGAAGCTGGCTCCCTTCTCCCTGCCCGCTCAGGCAGCCACCAATGTAAGCCCAGCAGCTGAGAGAAGGCTGAGGGGTATGGGGGACGTTGTTTCCATGAGGACAGAACCCCCACAAAAGCACTGCTGCTGGCCTCCCCTCCACAACCCTCCTGGAGGGGAGATGTGAACTGTCTGGCTGTGCGATGACAAGGCTTTGATGTGGGTCGTGCAGACTTCCGGACTGCAGATGCAAGACTTTTGGACATTCCCTTTGGCCCTTCCCAAGCCTGGCTTAAGGTGGCCGTCCTGGTGACCAAGGTCACTTGTGTGGCAGGCCCGTGTCCTTCAGGTGGGCTGCCTCAAGGACAAACCATAGATGATGGTGGTATTGTAGTTCTTCAGGCCTTAAAACCTAAATTCATGTTCTCTGATTAGCTTTATCAGTAACAGAGTTGATAAGGGCAAAGAAATGTACCAAGGTTAAAGCCCTTGGAGACATCCTCGAACCCTCTCTCATCCCACGTCCCCCCACCAGCAAATCCTACTGGCTCTCATTCACTCAAAATACACACATCTCAGGCACAGGGCTATACAAAAGACCACTGGGACAGAAGAGAACCGGATCCATCCACATACGGTCACTTGGTTTACCGCAAAGGTACCCCCGCAATTCAGTGGGGAAAATCGGTCGCTGTTTTTATAATAAATGCTGCTGGGGCAACTGGATATCCATGTAGAAAAAAAATTAATCTCACACCATACACAAAACACAATGGGAGATAAATCACAGGCTTAAACATGAAAGGTAAAGCAAAGACACGGAGTGTCAGCAGGAACCTGGGGAGGCAAAAAACATCTGACACAGGATGCAAAAGCACTGTCCAAAAAGACTGATAAATTGAACTACAGTAAGTCTAAGGATGTGTGTTCTTCAAAAGACACCATTAAGAGAGGGAGGGGCAAGCCAGACTGGGAGAGCGCCCGCAGCACATGACAGCGAAGGCCTCATCTCTAGGCATTATAAAGGACTACAAGAAATAAAGAAAAAAAAGGCCAACTACTCAATGTTTAAAAATGGGCAAAAGACTTGACTAGGTGCTTCACAAAGAGATACTCAAATGGCCAATAGCATAAGGTTCTCAAGCTCACTGGTCATCAGGGACATGCAGATGAAAGCCATAGTAAGCCATCAGTGCGCCCCAGCAGAACACACAAAAGGGAGACATCTACCCCAGTCCAGCTGCCCTCAGCCCTCACCTGGGCAGAGCAGACCCGCCATGCTGCTCTCCCACCCTCCTCCCACTCCTCTGTCATCTAAGCTGGAACACAGCACCCTCCTGTTGAAGCCCTTCCCATGCCTCAGATGGATTCCAGGCCCCCGAGTCCCGCAGGCTCTCTCCCAACTTCATGGGTGTTCTTTCTGGCATTCTGTGTCTTCGACATCCTGTGGAAGGTGCCGCTTGCCAAGTGACGCAGGGCCCCTTCCTCTGGCACCCCTCTGAACTCAGCCCTAAGTGGCCATGAGACTCTCCTATTTCTCAAAGGTTATGCAGAGTAACTGGGACAAGAGCCTGACCCAAAGAGGTCCTTTTCCCTCCTGCTTTGTCCTGTCAGCTATGACTCCCCTTGCCCATGTTTGGATTTTCAGAGGAGGTATTTCAACTTCCAGGCGCCCACAGCCCAGTTCCAGTTTGGCTACTTGCAAAGCCTTTTGAGATTCAAATCCCCCTGCCCCTCGGCAGGCAGACCTCTCCCCAAGCTGTGTGTTCACCTGCGAGCTCCGGAGGCAGCAGGTCTCACTGAGGACATTCTCTTGTGTGTGAGCACCCACTTCTCGGGGGGACGGGGGGTTGCCCTGCAAGGCCAGCAGGAATGGCATCTATTGCATCTTGCTCATCACCTCTGACATGTACAAAACACGTAGTGCCTGACGGTGCAGGCCAAGCCCACGGTGGCCAAACCCTCGGAGCCGGGGACGGGGGGTTGCCCTGCAAGGCCAGCAGGAATGGCATCTATTGCATCTTGCTCATCACTTCTGACATGTACAAAACACGTAGTGCCTGACGGTGCAGGCCAACGGAAGTGAGGAAAACAAGGCGCTGCAGGGAACTGTTCAAAGAGCAGTTTAAACTGACTCAGGACTGTCCTTTCCCCCAAGAGCAGCACACAAAAGTCCCGTGTCTCAGGAGTCAAACTTAAGCAGACAAGATCAAGGATCTGGGGCTTATTACAAATTCTCTATTTTTATGTGTGCTTTCATATTTCCAGGATAAAAAATTAAAATGTCCTTTCTTTCATAAGACGGTGAAATTTGATTGATGAGAGCAAGTTAAAAAGTCCCACTTAGCTAATTAAATATTGAAATTCCTATGTTGATCATGTTTCTTTGGAAATGGTGAAATCCACGGCCTGGAAATGACTGGATTCAACAGAGAAGCTCCACTGGGGCCGGCTGCATGAAGTCCCGCGTGACAGTCCAGCGTGCCAAGACCTAAAGCCCCGCTTTTTACTAGAACAGGACTTTGTAATACTAATTCTTTGTTGTGCTTTGAATTGAGACTTTTTGTATTTTAGAAATCATTTGTTTTACTTTTTGGTAATGAAGCAACCTGAACTCAGAAGTAAGGAAGCGATCGCCAGCCACTGAGTGTAGGCACTGTGACGGCCACACCACCAGCCACTTCTCAACTCAGAGCAAGTGAATTTTATCTAATTAGCAGGGCAATGGTGACCCTATTAATCAGTGTTTTAGAAATACTTAAAATGATCCTTACGAAACTACGACACACACATGCATACAGTGAACTCATTATGCCTACGACCATAAACAGCAAGCAAAAAGCATGGCAGAGGAAGAGAGTTGCGCTAATTCAACACAACCGTGAATTAGATGTGCCAATGCTGCATTTAGAGCTCCTTCAGTAGCTGCTCTCCATTTGCTTCCAGTCTGCACACATCATCTAATATTCAGGACAAGAAACAGTTTACAGTGATATCTGGACCTGAATTCATTACGAATCAAAAGTGGCGTGTTTTCTTCCTTTTTACACAAATCTGCTTGGACCTAGGACCTACGTAAAGGTGATGACTTTAGGAGACATGGGCTTATTTCCTGGGGTTACTCTTCATCAACTGCGATCCAAGCACACCAAAGAACAGCAGGAGCATGGCGTGGGGACGTCTGGGACAAACCCGCCTCAATCTGCTCTTATTCCAGACCTGCCCTGTGGTGGGGCGCACGGGGAGGTGGGTGGTAGGTAGGATTCCTGTTTCACTCTGTAAGCTCATCTTACTTCAAGGATAATGTTTGAAGACATGTTTTAGGGCATTTTTAAGTAAGGCTTCAGAGGAAAAGCTGATTCTAATCAAAGTTAAGAAATACAAAGCACAATTTTGGCTACTTTCCCATGGAAATGACTCAATAAGTCCCATAACCGTAACCAAACTTAAGGTAGAAAAAATGAAATGTTTGTACTGACTCTTTTTGGGATATGGAGAGTACGAAGATTTAAACTACCTATTATCACAGAGAACTGCCACTAATTCATGCAAAATTATATGCCCATTATAGAAAATACAGAACAATTTCAAGAGACCAAATCTGAACCAAACCAATGTTCAATTAACAGAATCACATTGTAGAATTTCATCACAGAAAAACTGACTTTCATGAAGTGCAATGATCAAATATTTCATTTCAAATATTCGTTAAGTGTGTAGTTATGGCAAAGAAGACCTTCTCCTACACCAAGAGTGGGAGCTTTTACTCACTGAGCTCCCACTCCAAGCAATCAGGAGGAAGCACATGCACACTAGAGAAGGACATCAGAAACCCAGGTACAGTTCTCGCCCAGAGTCTGAGATGTGTCAGGATAAAATACATGAGTACCGAGTACTGACTCTTGACAGTCACTTGGAATTGTTTTGGTATGCCTTTTACACCAGTTGCAGGTACGGAACGCCTGCTCCAGCACCAAGATGTAGTGCAAGCACTGAACAAGTCCACAGCAGGCCGCCATGAGTCACACTGCAGCACGCAGATCACCCTGAGCTGCACACCGCAGCTTAGGGGAAGCAACACAGACAGAAAGATTTTGAGAAAGGCAGGTCTGCATGCATTTATGTCTACTGACAGTGTTAGCAATTGAGTAACATAGCGGTCAGTTTTGAGGAGATAGGAGAACGTGCGGCTGGCTCTTGTCCTGCATCAAGCATGTGCATGTTTTCCACACAACTCCCGTTCCAGGAATGCATGGCAGTTCTGGGAGCAAAACTAGAAAACTCGTGGATAAGAAAAAGACGCACTGGTCAACTGAGTGCATCTTATCATCAGATTAGCTTCCTATGAACATCAGTACACAGTCTACGGAGAGGATGTGTATTAAAGGGAGTTATATCTAAGCATTTCTTTATTCACCAGTAAGGACAGTAAGGACCTCAGTAGAAAACTTCTATGCCAGCCTCAAGGAGAAATTCTGAATTACCTGTTAATATGTAGAAAACAAACTAATAGATATGACTTTTTCCCATATGAATTTTCCCTCACCTGGTATGTGTTTCATTTTATACCTTAAGTTTAAAAATACAGCTTATTAATCTTTACCTCGAGGACTGACGACTAACAGGTTTATAAAGGAAATTTCAAATACTTTTCACAAGAAATAAGTTACACCAAGAATACTGTATCACTACAAATTTTATTCAGAAACCCATCTTTGTGTTTTTTTTTTTTTGTTTTTTAAAAAAATTCCCATTATGAACTGGTTTGGTCAATCAACTACAACACTTTCTAGCAGACATACGGTAAAAATAGCATGGCTCAGAATCGCCCAGATCTTTCACGATCTCTCGACCTCCTCCTGTCACGCTCCCGTCCCCCACCGCCACCACCGCCGCCGCCGCCGCCGCCGCCGCCGCCGCCGCCGCCGCCGCCGCCGCCGCCGCCGCCGCCGCCGCCGCCGCCGCCGCCGCCGCCGCCGCCGCCGCCGCCGCCGCCGCCGCCGCCGCCGCCGCCGCCGCCGCCGCCGCCGCCGCCGCCGCCGCCGCCGCCGCCGCCGCCGCCGCCGCCGCCGCCGCCGCCGCCGCCGCCGCCGCCGCCGCCGCCGCCGCCGCCGCCGCCGCCGCCGCCGCCGCCACCACCACGACCACGGTCTCTAGACCGAGAGCGCCGCTCCCGGGACCGGGACCTTGATCTATGCCTGCAACCAAGGAAAAGAAACAGAACTGTTACATCAAAATCAAAACATGACACAGAAAACCACAATTATTAACACTTTTAAATACTGCATCTCACAGAATTGATGGCATAAAGAAAAGCAACGCTGCCAGTTAAATGGCAAGCTGTGACTCTGAGATGCACCTTGATTTCAGCTGTTCAAGTTTCAGGGGGAAAAGGTGCAACTTAGAACTGAAGAGTTTATCTCCCATCTTCTTCTACAACCAACTCAATGATCATGGGACTCATAATAAAAAAAATGAACTTGACATGAACAACCCTCAATGCTCACCTGCCTCTCCAGCCAGGGCCTCTCATCAGGCACCGTTTCTGGGGTGGGGAGGGCAGGGTTATTTCTCTCCTCCTCCGTCTATGCTTCTTTTTTTGTTGACAATAAAACACCAATAATGTATTTCCTAGTCCTGTACATGTTTAACAGGAGAGAGAACCCCTCTAGAATCAGAATTCAGTCTAACTAGGAAACATGCCTCATTATAATTTCTGACATCTTGATTTTTTCTGCTCTGTGACATGACTGTCAGGCAATCAAATGCAGGACCAGACAGATATGATCACTGTGCCCAATTCTGCCAGTGGTCTGAAGAGAGGGTGCCACTGATCTCCCCTACATAAAATGAAACAAACACCCCCAAACCAACAGACAAAACCAAAGAAACCCCACTGAGCATATGCAGTATCTGAAGGATGTTTCTATACATCTAACTTGAAGAAACTAGGGCATTCCCGATCACTCCAGGAAGCCGGCTGCAGCGGCCGCACTTAACTGCTTCCTTGCTTAGCTACTAAGGTCTGACCTGCTTGAGAAGCAGGATGATGAAGTTAGCGGTGTGCAGGTAAATATTCTTCTCCAAAGAACATATTTTACATTTTAAAATATATACTACATTCTAAGCAGTGTCTTTTACAGAACACAAGTACCACCCAGGCCAGGCTTTTGTCCTTTGGGGGCCAGGGCATCAAGCTGCACTACAGGCACACAGAGTACTCACTTCTTCCGACGGCGCCCGTACAGCTCCCGCCGCAGCTCTCTGGAAATGGGCTTCAAATGCATGAAGTTACAGAAGCCTCCTCGGGTGCACTCTCTGTGGGCAGAAGCAGGCGCTTAGTACCCAGAGTGCGCACCACACTGTACTGTGCTCGGTCCCGTGTAGGCAGCTGCACACAGGTCTACCCCACACTCACCCCATCTCATACTGGCGGCAGCAGGCTTCTCTGAAGTCAGTCACGGGCGAGAGCTCAGCGTGGATCGGCTGTCCGTTAAACCAGCGGTTATTCAAGTCGATCACCGCCTTTTCCGCATCTTCCTCTCGGCGAAACTGAAAAGACAAAACACAAATGCTTGCCACCCACACTTCAATAACACGTTTGTAATTATTGACCCAAATATACATCATGTAATCACTTCAGTAAAATAATCAAGGTGGAAGGCTGCTGTAGTCAATTTAAAAGCCAGGCAATTATTTTCTATCAGATTAATTTAGGAATAGTCCAAGATCATGCCAAATGTTGTCTTTTTCAAATTCAATTGGTTAAAAGAGCAAATGTAATGACTGTGTAGGCAATGAAAATTTTCCTTTTTTTAAAAAGGAAAAAGAAACCAAACAAACTTCTCCCTAGTCTAAACAGCCTCTAACCAATAGCTCCTAAGTGTTCTTCACTAAAATAACGATGTCCACAATATACTGCTGTCTAGGGGCACAGGCCGGCCACCCACACGAGACTCAGCAGGTGAAGCGTTGGGTTAACGCGTCTCAATTCTGAAGACACCACTGAGCGCTCAGGACTGCTAGACTAACAGCCCAAGGGCTGCTACTCCTCACCCCTCAGCCTCAGGCAGCAAGCACGCAAAGCCCCCACCTGCCGCTTCACTCCTACCTTGACATACACGTTCCCCACCAGGTGATCTCCCAGGTTGTCACAGACGTTCATCTCCTCAACCTCCCCATACTTCTCCTCCATTTCCGTAAAAACCTCCTGAAGGGAGAACACAGTGACTTAAGGACTGTTACACATTAAAGGTAAAAGTGTAATTAAACATAAGTCATGTACAAGCACGTGTATTAGTGAAATTTTAATTCCTTCCAAACAGATACAGAAGATAAAACAGGTCTATCAATTAGAGTCAATGATCTTACCTCAAAAAATTCATCATAGTGTTCCTGCATTTCAACATCGCTCACAGCACCTGGAAACAAGAGAAATCTTGCTGGTTAGAGCACAGTAAGAGAACTTTCGTGTTTAAAACTCAAACTGCTACAGTAACTCACACGAGATTATCTAGAGAAAGACACGACAGAGCCGCCCTCTACAGGGCACTGAGGAGGCTGCGTCATGCGGCTGCTCATCAATGGTCTCAAGTGTGGTGAGGTTTTTTAACTACCCCTACGACAGTGTCAATTCTGGCTACTGAAATATTAAATAACAGTCAGTTTTAATCAGCATCAACAGGGCCACATTTTCAGAAAGTGTGAGGAAAAAGATGACTCACAATTTAAAAAATGTTTAATTCTCTTCCTTTTAAGATTTACAATAGAGGCCAAGTAAGCACACTGATTTTTACCCCTTTTATTTGGTTAAAATGAAAGCAGAAATCAGGGTAAGTGATTGAGAGCTTATGTTGCTAACTAGTTTCTTTTGCAGACTGCTGGCCACAGAGTGCTATGAAATTCTCTCTGATGCGATTAAAACCCAAACGATCACAGAGACTCGGCAGGATAATTACCAGGTACAATTACAGTGTTTTGGATGCCCCCCCCAAAAGGGAAAGTGACAGTGTTTAGCTGAAGAAAGCACTCATTTTATATACCAAAGCTGCTTTCATCAAGTTCATTCTGCTTCATAACCCGCATGCACTAAGTGAAATCATATCTATTCCTGGTTAAACTTTGCAAATTTACATTCTATCCCCGTTATCACTCTACCATATTCTACTGTTCAAATCTTAGAGTTCTCTCAACCTAAACTGAGAAATCACAAAGCTGGTGTATAAAACTCATGTTCCAAACAGCTAGATCAGGAAGACTGCAAAGGTCTGACTGGCCTCAAGGCTGGGCTGGCTGAGTCTTCACTGGTCACCTTCCTTGGGCCACATTCCTGGATGAGATGAGCTGCATCCTGCCAGGGCATCCAGACTGGGCTGCCTTTGAGCTGCTCAAAACCCTTTTTGTCTTTCAAGATAAGAAGTATCTTCTTACTTCTCATTCCAAGAATGATTTAAGCTCACTTTCTAACCTACCTGGGGCTCTTAGTTATTTCTGAATTTCCAGGAATCCAGTTTCTGTTAAAGCTCAAAACTTTTTCAATGTATCAGGGAATGACTGCTACCTCTGACAGCCTGCCAGTGCTATCACAGGACGTACCAATTCAAAAGCTATCAGGAATGTACGTCCTTCCCTGAGTAGAAACCAGGTTATAAACTACAGAAAGCTAGCCAAGAGAAATCCATTCCAAAGGGCAGATTTTAACATTTAAAATTCCTTTTCTACATTAGAAAGAACACTAGAAGGAAAAATAATGCACACTGCTCAGTCTTAGGAGCTTTGAAAAAAGTTTCTGTGGTGGTGATTTTAAACTACTGACCGCATTCATTCTGCTTACAATTTTTGAATTAATCAAAATGACTTGAAAGGCAGAGACCAGTGCACTAAAATACTGATCAACTAAAAAACTACTCAAACAACTCAATAATACAACTTGGAAAACAAACAGTTTTCTTAGAAAAATATCATTCTTAAACTGGGATTCATATTTAACTTTTACCCATGCACATGAAGCTTATTTTTTTACATATAAAGGGTATAATAAAAAGAACCAATAATTTTAAGTAATTGATTTTCTTCCTAAAATGCAGAATTAGAATGTCATTTAATTTGTACAGTCTGGACCACAGAACTGGAGTATTTAGCAACAGCTAAACTTTTAGTCTGTAGCACACGCAATATGAGAATACTGTGAGCTGCAAGCAAAGACACAAAGAAAGCTAGTACAGCACTCCTTTGTAACAAAGCACACACGTCCCCAAGTGAATAATCAGGGCAAAGAGTTATTAATTACTGTTACTCAGTGATCTGCTTTTCATTCATTTTCACCCAGGGCAGAATTATTAACAAAAAACTGTTTTAATAAATCCATATATAAACATTTCCCTCCACCTACTCATCTTATTTCTTTTCTTTTCTTGTTTAAATAAATAAAACAAAAAAAACCAAAACAAAACAAAACAAAAAAAATCAGGCATTTTAACCAAGGGTTACCAAGTAAATCCTGCTACTACCAGATTCAGAGAAAGAAATCTCTCCTATCAGGTCAATATTGGCAATGAAAAAACATTTAGTGTCTGAGCAGAAAAAATATACAAGAAAATCCCACCCCACACAGAATGTGCACCCTTGTGTGCATGAGCGCATAACCACAAGGCCTCCCCATGTGGGGCCAGCTCAAGTGGGTGGTGGCCCCTGGTGCCATGTACTCAGTGTAGGTCACCCTATTAACTGAGGGGCTCTGGTGCATGGGTGTGCTGATTTAGGCTTGTGGCTGTACCTCTATTAATTTTTACTGCTTTAAAACAAATTGGTGAATGAGAAGTATCTACCCTTTGGTTCCGACTCCTTGATTTTAACAAGAATACAGATGTTCACAGATATTCATTTCATTTATCCACAAGTGACTAAATTTCAATTCTATAGCTGAATAGTTATAAAAATTAAATTTTAGTTTTCTGAACTTTCCAATGATACTTATCTATATCCTTTTTAAAAACTACCACTCAATAAATATTCAAAACTAAATGTATTAATATATACCAGTACAGGAAGAAATCGGTAATGTCTACTGAATACCCAGCGTAGGTCTATTTCCCCACCAAGTACCCTTTATTTTCCAAATGTAGCAAACTAACTCCTGCAGTTGGAGATTATATCTATGCAAAGAATGTTGATAAAAACTGGATATCTTTTCTGTCAAGGACCTATCTGAATTGAGCACACCAACATGGGCGTGGTGAGCTGGCACAGGGCTGGTGGCGAGGAAAACTTGGGTCAGTGAAAGTTGCAGACCCTCATTTAGGAAACATTCCCAAAACAATGCTCTCGCAATTAAAGCATAACCTCCAAAATGGAGTTTAAAGAAAAAAGGCTAACAAGAAATAAAACCTGAAAAATAATTTCAAAACAATTTGTTTTTTAAAGTTCCTGGAAGTGAGGGAAATGTTCAGATACTGTTGCTCTGAGCAGGGAAGAACGTAACTTGACATTTAGTTCTAGTACCTTCCCCCAGGATGACGGTTAAAGTAAAGGAAGAAAGAGCAGCAGCAGCCCAACTGTTTTAAAGGGCACCCTTTCCAGTCATTTCTTCCTTTTTAAATAAGTGGGCAGGAGTTCAAATCTCCAACAGAGGCTTCCATGGGGTCAGTGGGACAAAAGCTCCTTGCCACCTCTAGCAAAACGCGGTCCTTGACACTACCACGGCAGACCAGATGGAGTGGACACTGAGCTCTGACACGCAAGCCCAGGGAACCAGGGAAGGAACTTGTATGAACTTACAGCGCAAACCGTCAGCAGACTGGGAAGAGTTTTGAGGGTTACGGTAAATGTTCAAGAGGGCAATGGTCTGAAATACAAAACGCAACAACTTTATATTATGGAAAAATAAATGTAAACACTTAACCGGCTGCCTTTGGTGATTGCTTCAGGCGAGATTCAGTGCTGGAAAAAAAGTAAGTTATTTTTTTCAGAAGCAAGACGTTTTCTCTTAGTTGGTGGCTGCCTTGAAATGCCCTAGCACTGCAATGTAGGAGATCTCATGATCTGCTCATATCATATTTCTGTTTAAAGAATGTAAAAACTCTCCACTCCAAAGCTGCAATCCAGGTAAGAGTGCAAATACCTTGCCATGCTACTACCAAAATGTTCTCAGATTGTTATAGCAAACTTTTAGTGAACTGGGAAAGAAAAGGGCCTTATACAAAATTACTGTATTAGAGAAATACGATAATTACATATCATGAAATCTCTACTTCCTAAAGGAAAAATTATAATGGTGAAATAAAAACCCACACTTATTGGGCAACTTACCTTATTGATTCCTCAATATTCCTAAGATTTTTAATTTTATAGAAAGAACTTCATAAAGGCCAGGGGTTCAGTCACTGTAAAGACCAATGATCGGCTACTAATGCTTAAAACCCATTTCACATGGACGAACCTGCTTTCAAGACCAATGTCAATCAATAAAAGAGGCCCGGCCAGTGACCTTCTCCAGGAGAGAAGAGCCCCCTGAACGTGGCCAAGTATCAAGTTCTTGCTGTGTGCGCCAAGGAGTTTCAGCACCTTGTCCTGTTTGCAACAGCTCTATGTCAGCAGCTCAGAAGCCAACATGATTTGTCTCAATTAAGAGTGGGCTCTTTAACACCATTGTTTTAAAAAAATTTCTCCAACTGTGGGACTTACAGTGTGAGCCGTCAGCCGTCTGTGCACTGTTTTGGGGATTACGATAGATGTTTTGAATCAAGATGGTCTGCGGGGAAAAAAAAATAAAAAGGGGAATTCTACTGGCTGCTGTGCATATATTAGACAATTGCAAAGAGACAATTTGTTTGCAAATGGCTAAACGTTTGTTTGCTTTCCCGCAAGTCAGACACTCATCTTCTGAAGAATATACCAAAACCATCATATTATGAAAACAGAGTTTGAGCAGTGACTTGGGTCAAGTCAGCCAGCAACCAAGAAGAAATTGTAATTGTTGTTTTGAGTAGTCCCACATTAAAGTGTTTTAATACCAGATGAGTAACAGAACACAAACATTTTCTTGTACTTCAAGCTAGCAGATACTAAGAGGTCGAAAAATTCATTTTATAACCATATTCCCCACACAAGATTATTTTTCTAAACTGAATGCATAACTCAATTGTATGCAGTACTCAAGTTCTCTGGTCTCTCAGCAAAACAGGCACACCAAGCAGGTTTCTAAACTGTCATGGATACCTGACTTATTTACACTTTCTTGGTGGGATCTCTGTTTACATAATACAATAGCTTAAAACATTTGGTCTTTTCGGATCCTTCTTTTAAGGAAAAAAAAATCCTTTTAGCCCTTGTGCTTTAAACTGGATCAGGCAGACTTGAAACCTTACACTGTACCGTTCTTCTTAAAATCAAGTTGTCTGAAAAAACAAACCATGTTTAAGTTAGTAGGCTAATATATTACATGAATTTTAACGTCCATAGCACTGTAAGAAGCTTACAAAAAACCCACCCTGAATTACGTTAGAGATTTACAAGGTGAATCAATAAACTGTGTGATTTAGAAAAATAAACATTCAGCCTTAACAATATGTATCAAGCAGTTTCGTAAGTGGTTTTACAAAACCAGCCGTTTCCATTTCTGGCTATGTTTACAGGGGAGTGGTTGTATGAGGAGAGCTCCCAGGCACAGGCTGGTGCTGGGAACCCACCTGGGAGGAATGCCCAACAGTTGGACTGCACACATGTAGCTGCCTGGATTAAAGGAAGCAGCTCTGCTCGGGGCCTAGCTCTTCCTCCAGCCATTGAGGACTGCCTGAGTCAATTTATTTCAGGCCTCGGAGGTCTCCCAAAGCTGACTTTACTCAGCTTTCAACTGGCATCCCTGGAGCATGACAGCTCTGAGGAAAAGCTAAACTGAGCCCAATTATTCAACAGCAAAATCCACTGTAGGTCTCATTCAGGCAGTGGCTGTTTAATAAAGGAAAACTTCACTGAAAGGGATAACACAGTGATATTAAAATCAGGGGCGGCTAGGTTTACTTAAAACCAATCAACCAACCCAGAAAATCAAAACGAGATGCTTAAGTTAAATACTACTGACCCCATCAAATAAAATCACCATCTTGTTTTGATCCACAGCACTCAAATTAACTTTAACTGAGGTAATCCATGATTCAGAAAGAAAATAAAGCAAGTACTTCTGGCTAGCTTAAAGAAAACTTTTATAATGGACACTTAAGATGCTTGGTTATTGTACTATCTATGGCCACTCATTTAGTTGGGGAGATTTATTTCGGGAGATTTAGTTCAGAAATCAAAGAATTTTTTTAAAAAACTATGACAATAAACAGAAAATTTAATGGACCTTCTCCGATATTCTGAAATTCACAAAAAGAAAGACATATCCATAGCTATTAAAAGATAGATTCTTGTTATACTAGCCACTTGGTAATGGGAAATAATGGAGGGGAAAGCCATCGTCCTCTCCCCTTCTAAAAACACATAATGTTGTGGGGTCTGCTATGGGCTTAAATTAGAAAATACCAATGCCTCTTTCTTCCAGCTCACTTATACCAGCTGGCTGATTTTCTTAGCCTCTTATAGAAAGCATGTACAGAAGGTTGTGAGCTCAAAGGCAGAGTGCAGCAGCTTCCAGAAGCTACACACAGTAGTTACCCACTGGTTCAGAGGTTGCACATTCAGACTTTAAGGGCACCTCTGAAGGAATTCAAAAGCCCTCAGTCTAGAAAGACTCAAATATAGATTTTCGAATTTAAAAAGTTCTCATAAATTTGGAAGTTTTCTGCTCCTATTACTTCCTTTAATCCATTAGTGATCCCTTGTAGGGTGCAAACCGCTGCCTTTTCTTCAATTAAAAAATAAAACTATCAAAAATCACAATGTTTGACTGAACCAAACTCAGAGCAGGCCTAAGCCAAAGATACCAGGCATTTTTCAATTAACTGAACAGACTTGCTATGAACAATTTCTGCCTGTCTCCTACTGTTAAGTTTAATTTTTAACATTTCCATGACATGGTGCAATTTGCTGTTTCCTCAAATACGGACATAAAACCGGGACACGCTCAGGAGTACTAGAGAAACCCAAGCTGCACAGCATGATGGGTCTGGTGACAGTCACGCTAGCATTCCTTGTAAGGTGACTCCATCACCTCTACTGTCTGGAGAGAGCGAAGAGCAGAAAGCCCACTCTGCACTCATTGGTGCCGGGAAAAGAGGCTAAGCCAAGGCTGTGTGGCCACCCCCTCTGGACCATGACTGTTAGAGGGGGTGGGGAGGATGGCAGGGCAGTGGACATCAGTCACAGCCAACATACAAACATTAAAAATTTATTTTCTAAAAGATTCTCTAATGACAAGAGCAGGGCACTCTCAGATCTTCCACTGCCTCATTCTCACTGAAGCAAAAAAATACACTCACTTATGAACACAAATGGAAAATAAAACAACTAGAGAAAAAAATGACTTGCTTAATACACGCAAATTATTAATGGCCTCTGAAAAGTACACTAAGTTTTGATAATTTACATGAAAACAGAAAAGAAAAAAAAAGAAAAAACAAACAAACCTGGCTAAAGGTCGGTTTATTGTGCAACCGAGAACATCTGTCTCCATGACGACATGCTCCAATTTTGAAATAAAATGAACAGTTGACTCTGTAAGGGAAAATAAGAGCTGATTATTTTGCTGGAAAGATATCAAACAGAAGGAAATGTTATTAACATAATACATACTATCAAACTACTTCTCTCTTTCTTCACAAAACCATAGGCATATGGTTTCTTATCAATGGCAGGCACCTTCCTCTTTCTTGCAGATTTTAGGGAGACTTAACTAACTCCCTTCTACAAACATGATACTCTTTCAGGGAAGACCACTCTGATTCTATCCAATTCCTCATTCAAATCCCTTCCACTTTTAATTTATGCTTTCTCTGCTCTGTTGTGCTTTCTCCTAAATGGAGCATTAGATTAGCCTAAAACGAAATGAACTTAAACCATATTCGTTCTCTAGTTTTCCACAGTGAAATTCTTTTGAGGACACCAACACAGGAAGGGCTGAGACCCTGAATCTGCTACTAGCTATCTGGGACCCGGGAAGCCACCCCATCTCTCTTGGTATCAGATGCCAACTGTGAAATGAGGAAAATGCTAACCTGGCATTGTCCCAAGAATCAGATATAATGTATGTGTTTCACACACAGTGCTCATTAAGTGCTTTCACTATCTACGGAAAACAGAAAACAAATTTCAGGTTCTCTTGGAAACCCATGACACCAGACCAACGGGAAATTTCTAAAAACAAGTCTAAAGTAAATAATTTTCCTGGTTTCAACACACTGAAAATGGGCTGTTAGGGGCCCAACATGTCTTAAGAACTACCTAAGGTCATATTCTGTCTCTATTACAAAGCCCTCCCTTAATACTGTTCAAACACTTTGACAATCCAGATCAAATAAAAACTAGCAATCATGCCTGCATGACAGCAATACCAGGTGCATTAGCAGATCTGTGATGAGTTATGAAATCTTACTAGGTGGACCCCATTCAAGTTCCAACTTGCAGAGGTGGAAGAGCTACCCTGTACATCTGATTTTTTAGCAACAGCCATATGTTTAGACAGTGAATCCAGAGTTCGGATTGAAGGGCCTCAACCTCAGTGAAATCTGGTGGACCATGAAGACCGACCAGCCATGATTTATTATCAGGTAGCAGTAATGATGGGAAAGCCCAAATCTGTTAGGAGAGAAAATGTTTACTACACATATATTGGCAAACTTATCTTATAAGTCTTACTATAGATTATCTAAGTTGATTAAACAATGACATAACTTTAGGAAGTCACTTGAAAATGAACAAAAAGCTTATTTAAAAAATATCTCAGAGTGGGCAAAATCCCTGTCTGAACAATACCCAACACAATCTTTGTTCTTGTACTTCCAGCAATGGCTTTCATTTCATAATGCCCAGTTAATCATTTAGAGTTTAGTAAATTAGTTGAACTTTTCCAACAAACTTCAGTGATCTGCTTGTTAAACTACTAGAATAAAATAAAAAGACAAAAGAGGAAAGGTATGATTTACGATCACAGATAAACTATTACAGAGGCTAATCTATGCTTGGATCTAGAAAATGTCCATAACTTCAAGTGAATAATGAACTGAATATTAGACCTAAATTTTATTTCTAGTTTAAATTTTTCAAAAAAGTTAATAAGAGCCCTCATCTTCATCTTGCTTCCTGAAAGCTAAAATCCCATGTATTCCTGAAATGAGAACACAAGCAACTTAGATTAAATAATCAGTTTTTCTGAACTAAAACCATAACTTTCACAGTACAGCCCTAATAGGTTGAAATACGGTTAAAGGAGAAACTTAAAAAATATTAGAATAAACCTCTAAAGTAAAAGTTAGGGAGAGTAACAGTTAAAAAGCCACCCAATATAGCCATTTACAATACATAAGTCATGGCACACACAAACATAATTGACAGAGCTAAATTAATGACGCCCCCTGATTCTGTATGTGTAAGTTCTTCAGTCCAAACTCCAAGGAGCCTCTTTTTCCAGTACAGCTGGCCTATCCATTCACAAAGATCGTATTTAAAGACCAGTTTCCCAAGCCACTTACTTCTGTGATCTCACAGCCTTTAACGAACATTTTTATCCATCTTTGAATTCCCAGAGATTGGCCTATAGCTGACAACCAATAAATGTTTCTGGAGTGACTATGACTGGTAATTCTGGCATGAGATTTTCCTAGAAAGAAATACAGTCCCCTCTCCCAAATAACACAAGAGTCTATCACGTGTAAAAAACACATTTTACATGACACACCCCATCCTGAAAAACGGAAACATTTTAAACAGTGTTTGAAAAAGCGGCATTAGAAACCTTATCTACGACAAATTTAGGAGTTTACCACTAAAAACATATTTTCACGTAAGCTTCGTAGAGCACTTAAGAATGCCAAGATGGTATTCAAAGAGTAGATTAAACCAGACTTTAGGTTTTCAAAGTAAAAATTAGCCTTCAAAACGTCTGAAAATGTTCTCTTTCGTCAGACAAAGCACTGGGAGAATCAATACATGCCAAGGTGGCAGTGAAACAAAAATGAAATTAAAATTTTAACTTTTAACCTAACAGTTGACTAGGGAAGACATCCAACCTTAAACAAACAAAAGCACCTTTTTGCTTATATCAGAAGAGCATCTTCAAGTACTTTTAAAGCAGATTATGTCTTTTATGATCAGACAGCTAATCCAGCAGTTTCCAAGATACTTTTTCACGTCAATTGTCCTGATGGCCGCCCCGATCACCGCTTAAACGGGCGGGAGGCTTAAGTAGATAAACGCCAACAGTTAGGACCCTACGTTATCCAGCGATCTAGTACTGGCGAGGGCGCTGCCGGAGCCCGCCCGGCCAGATCTAAAGCCGAAAGTCGGAGGAAACGTGTTAAGGCGAGGCGGCGTCCCAGCAGCTGCCGGCCGCCAAGGGCCCAG